TTCCTTGATTAATTCAGAAAAGTAAAAAAAATCAATAGCGAAAATTGTGATTGAAAAGTTGCCAATGCAATTTCATCTGGAAAAAGATTATTCCTTTGACCACAAGTTAAACCTCAACAAAATGGTTACCATAAATCTTAGCCAATTTTAGATGATAATCATTTGGACAAGATTTTGAAGGGAAACTTGAATGGACCAGACAAAGCTTGAACCCAGACAAAACAAGAAAAAAGTGAGACAAATTTCAATATAAAATATTGGCTAACAATTGATTTTGAGTCACACGAAGACACAACAATTTGAAAATGGGTTGCACTTAAAATTAGATTAAAAATGTGTGGCAAGTAGCAACACAAAAGAATCAATTTAATGTGTTGAAAAAATAATGCCATTGAGATGATCTCACAAAGAAACAGTACTTGTGATGTTTTCATCTCACCCTTCCAAGTGGCACTCGTGTGTATCAAAATCGTGTGTATCAAAATTGCCCTTATAACGGTATATTTAACACTCACAGAGACACAGAGGTTCACATAATGAAGGGAAACAATGAGCATGAGCACAAAAGGCCCAGATAGACTCGTCTATATCAACAGAAGGTTTATTGTTGGTCGTTTATCAATTCAATAGCATTCAAAAATATAATATTGTTGAAGAGGGAAAGGGAAAAGATGATGAAAAAAAGGAAGAAGAAGGAAGAAGACCAAATGAAAGTTGAAAAGGGAGGAGAAAGTTGATGATAGTGATGATGATAAACAAAGTGAATGAAAGATGGTGCAATAAAAATGATGATGTACAGCTTTGGGTTATCATTGAGCACTGCAAGGAGCTGCAAATTATAATAATTTGATTGAAAAAAAGACGAAGATCCAAGAGACTCTCTTGGAACCTTAACCGGCTTGAAAAAGTTAAATTGTCATAAAAAGTTGTTATACTTTATTTGATTGGGCAAAGAGAGTAGTAAAAAAAAGAAGAAGAGAGAAAAATATCTTTTCATTGCTGCTTTTCAATAACATTATTCAATAATAACCAGTGAATGGGAAAAAATCGTTTCTCCTTTCATCAACAAACATTATCATTGACATAATTTGGCCATACACTGATGATGAAAGTGATGATGATAATGAAGAAAGAAGAGGATGAAAAAGTTGACGCTCTATTATTACCATTATTAAATCGTTATTTTCACTTTTCATTACCAACAAAACTTTAATCATGAGCCAGACAAGTTTACCTCTAACCTCCTTCCTTGTCAAACCCAGTCACTCATCGGTTTACCGTTGAAATAAACAACAATGGACAGCCTTTTCTCACTTGCTTCAATCATTCAATTTTCATTTTCAATTTAAACTTTTCATAGTTCATCACTTAATTGCATCAATGATGTCTTTTCAACCATTTCAACTGTGAGTTGAAGATGCAAAAAAATCATCTTTTCTTCATCTTTACCTTTGCATCTTTTTTCTCCCCTCTTCTTTACATCATCAATCCTTTCTTTTCACACTTGAATTTTTTCCGACCTAAAAATGGATAAAGAACAATATTCATGCAAAGTCATTACTTTGCTTTTGTGTAGTGTTTTTGCCTAAAAATGAGGCGAAAAAGCATTCTTGTGTTGGCCTTTGAAAAAGGGGCTTTTTGTCTTTTCATCTTTCCTTCTTTGACCCTCTTTTTTTCCTGGCTACTCTTGACGCCATTTTGAGATGAAGATGAAAATAATCAAAATGATTCTTGCACTCTTTTTACCCATCCTCACTTTGCTTCAACATTCATCAACAAAAGTAACCAACAATCAAGTTAACTTGTTTTCCCGTTCATTTTGCTTAAACTTTTATTGCTCTTTATTGAAGCAAAACTTTCAAGCATCTCATCCTCATCCTCATCCCTTATCTTTATCTGTCACTTTGCCAAAAGTCTAAAAGTCCAACTCTCTACTGGCTTTCAGACAAGTTACTCTTTGCCCTTTTCCTTTCCATCCTCATCTCTTTACATATTTACACTTTTCTTTTCATCTTTTACGGTCAACTTCATCCTTACCATCACCATCATCATTATCATCATTTTCACCATTCTCATTGAAATCATTATCCAATAAGAAAAGAAAATTTTCCAATCATTTAGACAATCCAAATGAAACTCAATCATTTTCATGTTCCAAGATTACAACTCTTACGAACAAAAAATGACTTCTTTTATTACATCATTTAAACATTTTGCAACTTTCAATGTTTACCTTTACTGTTTACCTTTTGACTTGCAATCAAGTTTACTCAACAATTAACGTTAATTATATTTACTTTGAGCAAAATTTTCTTCACTTTTCATTTCCATGGAATAATATCAAAAAGTAACTCTTTTCTTCATGTTATCCTCTTTATTTGACCGGAAAAAGTTTGCAAATTACAATAGTAAAACTGACCAAACAAAGACAGAAAAAAACATTTCCATTAATAGTAACATGAGCTTTAGAAGGAAAAAGATTCATGAAAAATTTTCACAACAAAAATGCAAATAATTCGTAATGATATAATGCATTTACATTGACAAATTAATGATGAATCAGTCTATGAAAGGAAAAAAAGTTGTCATCAGATTATCTCAACATTTATCAACATTTTCTCCTTTCAGTTCCTTTCCAGTTCCTTTTCAGTTTCATTTCAGTCTTGCTAACCGATGAGCAAAAAAGTATGAAAAATGTAATGAAAATTATTCATTTATTTGAAGCAAAATTTTGTCAATCCTTTTGTAACAAATGATTTATTCCGACCATTTTTAGAGTCAAATTTAGCAAATTTAATCAAACAACTTTTAATAAACTTGAAGGAAACTGGTTAAAGTGAAGAGGAAAAGAGGTTGAAAAGTGAAACAAATGGTTTGCAAGTGACTCACCAACTTGGAGACAATTAATTTTGATTAAAAGTTTAGATTGGTAAACATTATGAATGGCCAATTTTCCCTCGGACATTCACATAATGCATAATGTACTAGCAACAAATGAAATCGCATCCAAAACACAAGAGACTAATTAGAGGTTAGAAAATGAAATGGAAAAAAGAAAACTATTTTTTCTCCTCATTTCATCCATTCTGTTCTGTTGCTGATAAAATTGAAACGAGTCATCAGAAACAATCAACTGTCGACTTTGCCAATTCATAAAAAAACACTAATATGTGTTATCACATTTTCACTCCCAGTTATCGATAGAACATTGAAATGAGGAAAAAGTTGCATTTACACATTTGCATCGATTAGGTGAAAGCCCAAGAAGTGACCTTAATGTCCATTGGTTACTCTTATTCTTACATGACTTGAATTTCTTTCAACAATTTTTTTCCTCTCCACTTGTCCTTGTTCCTCTATAATCATAATCATCTTTATCTTCATCATCTTAACCCTCTCTTGTTCACCAAGCCATTTGCTTTCCACCAAATTGAAGCATTTTTTTCCTTCTTCTTTGCTCAACCTTTTGCATCAAACTTTTTTTCCCTTCTCCCTTTACTTGATGTTGTTTTACATTCAATTGATTGGTTACATGCATTTTGGTGCTCAGATTGAATTAGAAGCAAAAAAAACAATAAACACAAAAAGTACAAAAAATCGAGATCAATTGAACTCTCAAACCTGATTACCATTTGTGGTTGAGAGTAAAAATTTTTACATTCAATATCCAAAAGAAAAGCAATGAAAAAAAGCTCTCAGAGTCTCAATGAGTAGCAGGGTAAAAGAACGAGTAAAAACAAGAAACTTTAATCGTAACTCACTCTGTATCGACTTTTAAATCGATAACATTTTTTTTTCTCTCTCTTTCACCATTTACATTTCTTGACCCTTTTTTATCCTCCTCACTCCATCACTTTTCTCTCTCTCTTTTCGTCTCCATTGTCATCATTTGCTGGAAAAAAGCAAAATGAGCAAAAACAGAAACAAGAAGAGCAAAAAACTCGATATCAAACATTTTGCACTTTACCATAATTTCATAACTTTATTTCCTTTTCCTTCCTCTTTCATCTCAACCAATTTTTCCTCCTCATCATCCATGTTCAACCATATTCATTTGTCTATTTTTTGTCCCTCAACCTCATCATCATCTTGATCCATTTTTTTGCAAAATATTTTCCTCTTTTCTCGACTCAAATTGGTCCAACTATTTATCATGAAAAATGATGTTATCCATTGGGTTGCACTTGGAGTTAAACAAAAACTCAAAGGGCAACATAAAACACCTTGAAAAGAGCAGCTTGACTTTGCTTTTTCAATCATTTTTCTTCTTCTCTCAACCATTTTCCCAAACCGTTGCACATTCAAAATGATGCTCTTTGATTAGCCTTATCATGTCGCTCATCATAAAATATCCTTTGGCTGACCAAATGGCCATTTCTTTTTTATCCATTTTCTCATCTTGCTCTTTACCATTTTGTTCAACTTTTTTGGACTCTTTTGTTTTGAACCTTTTTTACGTTGAAAACAAACATTCATCAATATCAATTAAAATCAACACTCTTTACGTGAATGCATTTTGAAACTGATCAAGTTCATCTCTAGTTTTTACTCTTGAATCTTACAATTTCATCTCTAAATTGGTTATTTATTGTGACTCTTTGTTTCGCTAATTGGCCTTCATTCGCTTGATTATTTCATCTTGTCTTTCCTTTTTTCATCATCTAATCATGTTAACTTGTTATTAGATTAACTTATTGTATTAAAGAAACTAGATTAGACACACTAAATAAATCATTGATCTAAACAAGAGTTTAACCAAGTGACAAACACGCTTCAATTTTCGGCTTGTTGGCACATTGAAATTTTAAAATTCAATTTTCACCTTGAATGGAAACATTTTCAACAATGTTGCCTGGTAATTGCAAGACAAGAATTCAATTTCAATCCATTGAATATTGAATCAAATGTGATTTGTTGATTATTCTAGTTTTGGTTTTCATGTACTTTTACCTGATAATATTGTTTACTAATCAATTGTATTTTTGGATATCTTTTCACAGTGGCTGAACCGCATATTGTTATGGAAGTTATGGATGAATATGTTGTTACTGGCAATACTGCTGTTTTCAAATGCAATATACCAAATTTTATTAAAGACTATTTAATCATTTCAGCTTGGATTGAAGATCAAACCATGGTTGTTATTCAATCACTTTCAAATTATGTGATAAACATGCAAACACTAGGTGATAGCAGGTATCTAATGTTGCCAACGGGTGAACTTTACATTCGCCAAGTTGACAGTACATTGAACCAACGGAGCTACAAATGCCGTGCAAGACACAAGTTGACTGGTGAAACCTACATCAGCTCAACAGCGGGTAAACTTATTGTTTCAGGTAAAGTTGAATGGTTTAATGTTTTCATCCCTGACCAGGGCTTGAACCCGTAATGTTGCAACCTTTTACCCTCCTTCATACCCACTGTGCTATCAACTATACAATGGATTCAAAGACTATCAAACTTGATCCAATTTATCCTAACCTAATCTAACCTAGCCTAATTTTCATTGTTATTTGATTAAATCAAGAATACAAACTATTATTGGATTGGGCAAAAATTAATGTCTGCTCAGCTAAAGAGTCAAATGTACAATCTAATATAATTCAAGTCAAACCTTTGGCTTATTTTGCATTATTATAGCGATTAGAAATTGATAAGGCTCGAAACAGCCGCCTTGGCAAAGCATGCTTTGTGACTTGAGGTTATCTTTACAAGCACATCTTTTGCGTTTCTCGACAGAAAATTTGCTCGGGCCAAATTGTTGCAAAAGCTTTGATTAATTATGCATGATGAATGAACATGCATTGATAATTTGTTTGTCGAGTCGAATTGTTTGCTGTGGTTAAGGGAAGAATGAATAAAAAATTCAGCGAAAAAAAACAATCGATCCATTCCTAGCAATAGTTACAAATTGATGCATCAAAAGTCTTTCATCATGTGTATACAGAGACACACATCAAACACATTATATACAATAAACATCAGCAACATTGTTTTAGCCTGAGGGAATCAAGAAAAGGTCTTTCATTTTGTTCACAATTTAACAAAAATTTGGTGCTAACTTGGCGAATAATTGCCTCATTGTCTTTATTTTGTGCAACTTTTTCTCTTCACTGCTCAGCTTGCATTCAGCCAAAGCCATGAGTTAATATTATTTGTCAGCAAAAGAGTATCGCACAAGGCACAACAAAGATGAAAAAAGTTGCCCAACAAAATATTACAGGGATGAAGTGCGTGGTTAGAAAAAAATGGAAAAAATTACAAATGAAATAGCATAGTTTACCTTCTGGTGAGATGTAAAACTGGGAATAACACTTATCAAATATTAACAGAACACAAGCTGAATACCCTGAGGAAAATTTCACGGAAGAAAGAAGCAAATAAGATAAAAATGATGGCGAAAGGAGATCATGATAAGGATAAACTTATAATAATAATACATGAAATAGCAAAGCTAAAAAAGCTGATGATAATAAGAAGGAAGAAAAAATATGATAAAAGTAAAAAACATAAAAATGAACAGATAACCACAGTAATAAAAGGTTATCACTAAGTTTATATGATAAAAACTTTAAAATGCAAGTTCATTTATCAAATTGAATCTTTATCTTTTTTGAAACTCATAAGTAGATGATGAAAAGTTAAGATGGAGAAAAGATGATAAACTGATTGCTTAGAGTAGTAAAAATGGCGAGACTTGATGCTGGTAGTTAAATAGTGCAAGCTCAATACTGGGAGTTGAACACTGGGAGTTTTGAGAGTGCAATGTGAATGCTAGAAGTTCAATGCTGGGAGTTGAATGTTTGGAGTTAAATACTGGGAGGTGATAATGATGATGATGGATACAAAATGGTTAGTGAGTAAATTAAAAGTGAAAATATTTTTTCCACAACAAATGCAGACTTTTACGATGGAGAAAATTGAAAGATTAAAGGTTTTTCAAGAGGAATCATCTTTATCATCTTTTTTGTGTTTTTTTTCTTCTTCATTTCTGTTCATCTTGATAAGTTTTGCTCTTTACTCAAACAAATAAGTGGGAAAAGTTTCTCCCAAGGCTTTTATTAAAGATCACTAGAGCGCTAAAGGTTTACTGCCTCCACCCCTTTATCATCATTTTCATCACTACAGAAAAAGCGTCTTGTTCTTTACTCTTTTTTTCATCTTCTTTGTTTTTTCTCTTTTCTCACTTTTCCCATGAGAGATGACTTTTCATGGTTACCAAATCATTTTCACATATATAACCATGCAAACAATAAGGAAAAGTCAGTTACTCTTTAGTCTTATTTTTGCACTCTTGTATCCAAAATGAGGCTTACATGAGCTCAAATTATCAGTCACAAGAATAGGCTAAAGTATGATGAACAAGTGCAGAGGAAGAAAGGAAAAGATTTGTAGATATTGTTCTGATAATTATGATGATTATGGTGATGGATAAAAACATAAGGATAAAGATTTTTTTCTCTCTTGGCGTCTACTTTGATAATGTCGGATGAAATAAGGTACAAGTTGATGATGATGATGATGAGTATTCATAGTAAATAACATTGACTTTGAATCTACTTATTGGCATAATTTTATGTGTCATAATGTTGCACGTAATAATACATAATAATATGTAATACAATATTTTTTTGCCTCATCTTATTACAGAACAATTGTCGGTTCAAGAGAATATATTTTTTTTCTGTTCATTTTTTGCACTCTTTTTCCACATCATCATGTTTACTCATAATGATAATCAGTTTGAATGATAATTTTTTTTCTCTCTCTGTTTCTCTCTTTTTCTCTTGATGTCGATAATGGCGATAATAATTCTTAACCATCATCATCAACATAATCGTTAACAATAAAGAATCTCATAATGTGATAAGTCCACGTATAAGTGATATACGATCTATTGTGTTGGCTGTTAAAGGTGATACAGTGATACTTCCCTGTGTAGCTCAAGGTTATCCTGTGCCACATTATAATTGGCTTAAGAAAGAGTCAACGGAAAGATATTTGACCACTCTTTCACCCAGTTTGATGGTTGATGAAAGGATGACCCGATTAGATGGCATTGTATTTATTCAAAATGTTAAAATTCAAGATTCTGGAATTTATGTGTGCCAAGTGAATAATACAATTGGCGAGGAAAGAGCAGAAACTAAGCTGCTTGTCCGAGGTAAGTTTTCACACTTTTTATCCAACAAGCATTGAGCAAAGATAGATGTCCGTTTATCAGAAATCAAAATCCGCTCACCTGACCCTTTTATGTGTACTCAACTATCGAAAAGATTAATTATGCGAATTCAAATATTTAAATTTCACGATTAATGGTTACCTAGTTGCCATTATTAAGCTGCCTAACCTTGTGTAATGATTATATGCTGTGCCTGTCAAAACATTCAAGGCATTAGTTATAAATTATCGTTTCATTTTGCATAATTATTATGACAAGAAATGGTTTAAATCAGGTAATCAAGTCGACAAGCAACAGACTAAAGTCGATTCGATCATCGACCTCAAACACTTGAAAGCATCTTAAACGGACACTATTTTTGACTCATTAACTTTATAACAAAATCGAGTGTAGACTGGATCACATCAACACTTCAAGTTCAACCTAGAGGTGAGCCTTTACTGCATCAAATTTATTACTTGTCAGCCTCTTAACTCGTCATCAAGTCACGAGTTCCAATGCTATTTATGCAAATGCTTTGCTCTAAATCCATCTCTCCATCACATTATAACTTACTGAATGGGTAAACTTTGACTTCATGAGTATCATGAATCATTGCAAAACCACCAAATCTGATTGTCTCAATTCAACAAAATTGAACAAAACTCTTTCTCTTCTAAAAATTACCATTTTTGCAAATCGAGTCAATGATAATTTTATGACAATAACCAGTAAAATTGAAACTTATACCAATAAAAGTGAAGCTGGAAACATGTATTCATGGTAATGATTGTAGAAAAGAATTACAAGTTTCAATATTGACTCATTTGAATAACAATGGACTGCAGAGTAAACTTTTCTTCTTACCTTTCACACTTTCCCAAGTGACAACATGTTTGAGAATGATGGCGAAAAAATTTATTCAATCGTTAATTGAATACCATGTTAATCATTTTCCCTTTTCACCAAACTTTTCAAACTTTCCAATTTTTTCTCTCCCCAACAAAACTTTTTCTATTGTTTTTTCCTCTGCCCTTATAAATGGTCTCATTATTGGTGGAATGAATATTTTTTTGTGAGAAAATGAAAAAGAAATGAACTGAAAATGATCAACTGAATAAGAATATCTATACATCTACATTCATAGATGAATTTTTTTCTTCGCATTATTTTTCATCATCCCAAGAATATCAAGTATTAAAAATTATTGAAGTGAAAATATTTATTTCTCCTTTTTGCTTGCTCGGAATATCTTTTCAGCTCAGCAAAGATTTTCCAAACTTGAAGGAGAAGCAAAAATTTAAGTTGAAAATAATGATAATGATTACGATTCAGTTGTTGGGTTCAAAATTGAAACCCCTTTTGCACTCTTCTTAGCCAACAATTTCACCACAAGAAGGAGAAATATTTCGATATTATTTTGATAAATTTTCTTCTATTAACATTCTATTTAAAGAGTTATATAGAGTAAAGTTGAACCTGATGAACGAATATGTGTATCATGTGCATCTGAAAGGGAAAAGATTTGTTGGTGAAAGAATTTGATTCTGAAGAAGAAAAAAAAGTATAAAGAGAAAAGTGACATTGAAAGGAGTAGAGAAGGAAAAAATTGTTACAAAATTGATAGAAAATGAGAAGAATAAGAATAAAGAGTGAAAAAAATGATCCGGAATACGAATTGTGTTTCGATTATCATGGAACAGTGCGAATGTTAAGAAGACTATTGAAGAGGCAAGAAGAAGAAGAAAAAGTATTTGAGAAAAAGCGTTATCAGGTTCACTGAAAAACTATTCATTTGCCTTCATCATAATCATGATATTTCTCACTTCTTTCCTCGTCTTCTCTTTCTTTTCCTGAATATCAATGAAACTTGGAAACAGATAAGTGATGAGAATGGAATGAAAAGAGATGGAAAAATTGTTTCGATCTTTTTTTTGCATCGATAAAAGAAAGGAAAAAGTAGGAGTTGAAATGAGTTGTTCAGATGATGATAATGATGATGATTATCAAAGAGTTGGAGCAAAGAGATGCAAAAAAAGGGTTGAATAGCAATGATAACCTTATGGTGTCAATAACTATGAATCAATAAAATAAATAAAAAATGGCAAAACCAAATTGAATCTTAATATGAATTCAAATTTACGTCTCTTTTACCATTCAAATTTTATCTCTTTTCATTTACTTCTTTTTATTTCACTTTTACCTCTCACATCATCATTATCATCCCATCTTGTTACTGAAGTTTGAGCATTTGCAGACAAAATGTTTCATCTTTATTCATTAGAGTGAAACCAAAATTTAGACGTTTTTCATCCTTTTTTTACAATCGCATTTTCAATCATTACTTATCATGATATTGTTTCATTTTGTTTCATAATTAAACAAGAGATGAAAAGAAGCACTTGAAAAATATCTTTGATGAATCTGTTCAGTTGATGAAATACACTTCATCTATTAAGCTATTGTCTGAACTTTTCAAATAGTAATTTATTATATCAAGTTGCAAAAGCTTCAACACATTTTTTTGTTATTATAAAAGCTAGTTTTTTGCATTAATCGATGATTAGTCAAACAGCCAAGTTTTGCACATAAAAATTGGAGTTCAATATTTAAACTATTTATAATGTTAAAACTAGTATGTTTTGTAACTACTAGTAGCATGAAAAAAAGTATCTATTGGACCTAAGGACATTTCAGGTATTTTTAGTATTACTCAGCTTATTACTCGGCCTGTGAGTGACCTAGAGATTTCTATGAAAATTTCGCGAATACTTATTAGTAGTAAATAAGAAGAGAAGAGTGGAAAGGGCATGTCGAAGAGGCAGCAAATGAATGAACTCTCAAGTTTCAAAGTTTTAATTTAATTTTTGAATTGAAAACTTCACAATTTTCGTTTTTTCGAGCAATGTTCAACTAAATAATCATCAAACTCTCTCTTTCCCTCTTTATCCTTTCGAAAGAATTAACAAATTTTGCCGATTTGGAAAGAGACGTCGTGGGACAAGAAAAAAACGCGTTTTTTTTATTAGAATTTTTCTAATGGAAGAGAATGAGAGAATTTTTTGATTGAAACTATTTATTTTTCTTTTTGCTTCTATGAAAATATGGCTACAAAATCATTTTTTATCGCCAACTTCTTGGGCTTTTTTTGCTGCCCATTCCAAATATTGTCTCTCAAACTTTCCTTTCGGAAAACCAAAATGGTTTTCCATCCGCTTACTCATGTAGTCGCAGAACATGTCGCGATCTTTCAAGTCCTGAACCAATTCCAAGTTCACTCGGGAAATTCTTTCTTTCGCTCGTTAGCCTCTCTGGCTTGAGTAGTTAGGGCTTCCACTTTGCCACAAAAGCTGTCTCAAAGTTAGCATGACGTACGCACCTTACGTACGTCTGCTGTACACTGTCCCAGAGTCGGACATTAGAAGGAAAAAAAGCTGTCCTAAAGCAGACAAGTTGTCCTGAAGTAGGTCTTTTTAACATTACTTTCACACGAAGAATTGAACGAAACTTTTAGTTTATTGTCCGCCATAGCATGACCCTCCACGTTCACTCCTAGAAGGGAGCCTCTCAAGCTCACTTATGAACCTCCACCCCCTTTCCGATCCGAAACCAGTTTTTTTCAGACCGAAGAATTAACAATCTTTAGCTCCGCCCCTTCGACTCTTCCCTTCTTATTTACTACTCTTATTTGTTATGGTCATCTAAGTTTATTTTCGGAAACCGCTCCTATTGATATTAGAGATTAATTAAGGTCAAATCATGATTCGAGAAGTCGCATAATCGTACTGGTAAAGTTTCATTCTTCTGTCATGAGTCTTAGCCAGTTGTTTACAAAAACTGCACCATATGACCGTATCCATGCTGTCCTGGTGTGGATATTTTTTGTCAAAAAACAGCGGTTTCCATACTTCTATCAGCTTACATGTTGCATGATTAAATAAGTACCTAAAATTATCCAGGTTTGAGATCAGTTTGCTGACACAATATGCCTCTTGGATTGGCTTTGATACATTTTGTATTTATAATAGTTTAGAAAGTATCTTACTGTTTAATCTAATGCTTTAGCAACTGAGCTATCCGGAAATTTCAAGTTTAACCCTTATAAGGCCATCTCTAAGTTACCCATGATCACTTATGAGATAAGAGCAGCTCTGGTTTTGTTGGTTTGTCATCAGGAAAATGTTGCTGTTGTGGTTATCATCAATTTGACTTGATAAAAAAAGCCAAATCTTTACATGACCATAGTTTATCGAGCTTTTTTTGTTTTTTTCCAATGTGAAGTAAATGTTTGATAAAAGTGAGTGATCGCTGATAAACGTACAGAATTGAAAAGATGAAGGTTCAAAGTGATATGATGATGATAATGGATGGATAGATGAATGGATGGGTGAATGAATGAATGAATGAGAAAGAGTAAAGTAAAAGAAGTTACTCATCATTCGACTCTTAGACTCTCAGGGAAGCCAAAAGAGAGAAGAAGAAAGAAGCGAAAGAAAAAAAAGAGTTGATGTGATGATGAAGAGGAAAAGGAAAAAGATGAAATGAAGAATGATGAGGATGAAGAGTAGAGGGTAAAACAGGAAGATGATAAAGAAGGATTGAAATTTATCAATGGTCTTGGAAAAGGGGTGAAAACTAAATGACCTTCAATTGGAGCGATAAATGATCTTACCTCATTAACAAATCATTCATTGCCTTATAATGTATTCCTTTTATACTTGCATTATCATCATCATTTACATTCACCAGAGCCTGACAGTTTCTTTCATCAAGATTAAATTGATTCAAATCAGTTTCTTTTCACTTCATCATCCTCCTCATCCTCATCATCTGAATATCAATTAATTTTTTTCTCTTTCATTTGAAGAGAGAAAAAATTTCCATTTAATTAACCATTAAATTGTGCTAATTACTTTCTCTCTTAGCAAAACTTTTTTTTCTTCCTTCGCCAAATCATTTTCATGAAAATTGTCACAACTTTTGCTCTTTTGGGTTCACATTTT